ATCTCTGTAGCACTCCACCAATTAGGCCTTTATGGTAGAGTGGCCAGACAGAAGCCACTCCTCAGTAAAAGGCACATGACAGCCCGCTTGGAGTTTGCCAAAAGGCACCTAAAGGACTCTCAGACCATGAGAAACAAGATTCTCTGGTCTGATGAAACCAAGATTGAACTCTTTGGCCTGAATGCCAAGCGTCACGTCTGAATGAAACCTGGCACTATCCCTACGGTGAAGCATGGTGGTGACAGCATCATGCTGTGGGGATGTTTTTCAGCGGCAGGGACTGGGAGACTAGTCAGGATCAAGGGAAAGATGAACGGAGCAAAGTACAGAGAGATCATTGATGAAAACCTGCTCCAGAGCTCTCAGGACCTCAGACTGGGGCAAAGGTTAATCTTCCAACAGGACAACGACCCTAAGCACACAGCCAAAATAATGCAGGAGTGGCTTCGGGACAAATCTCTGAATGTCCTTGAGTGGCCCTGCCAGAGCCCGGACTTGAACCCAATCGAACATCTCTGGAGAGACCTGAAAATAGCTGTGCAGCGATGCTCCCCATCCAAACTAACAGAGCTTCAGAAGATCTGCAGTGAAGAATGGGAGAAACTCCCCAAATACAGGTGTGCCAAGTTTGTAGCTTTATACCCAACAAGTAAATGGTCTGAATACTTATGTAAATGTGATATTTCAGTTTAGTATTGTTAATAAATTAACACAAATGTTTTTGCTTTGTCATTATGGGGTATAGTGTGTAGATTGATGATAAAATATTTTTTAAATCAATTTTAGAATAAGGCTTTAACGTAACAAAATGTGGGAAAAGTCAAGGGGTCTGAACACTTTCCAAATGCACTGTATGATAAACAGAGTAGCAGCAGCGTATTTGATGATTATGTGTGTGCGCGTGTGTAGAGCAGGGTTTCCGTAAGCTGACAAAAAAATGTTTTTAACTTTTGCCCGCCAAAACGACCAGGATAAGCTTTTGGGTTTGTTGCAAAAATAATGCATTTTATTAATTGATGGAAATACATTTGACCGTCATGACTATTGGTCTATAGGTTCATTTGCATAATTTTGTGGAATTAAATTGGCCTTATCTATCACACATGCACAGCAGATACACACAGACTATTTTGTGCAAGATTTCTCCTGCAGCTCCTCAGCTGGTTGCTGCTGGAGAAAAACAGGTTATTTTATAAGCCCATTCATTGCGCAAATATTTTAAATGCAATCGCTTGTTAAAAACAGTTTTAGTGCACGATTTCTCAACTGGTAATTGAAGCGCGCCTCCGATTCACCATTCAAGTGCACGCAACAGGCTATCAGCACTTTACAACGTGAACTGGAGGCAGTATGCATTTTGAAAACATACTTCATTGTTTAAAACCTTAATGTTTTATTTTATATTATGAGGCGTGTCTTAACTTGCTTCAAAGTAGACTATAGGCTAAATCTAAAAGTTAAAAGTAAACTATGCGAGATCACCAGCCTCTGCCATTTGGACACATTGATACACCGTGATCCATTGGCAGCTAAAGAAATTAGCGCATGGAACTCATAGCCTATAGGCCAATGCAGAAGTAGGCCTATAACTACCATTGCTCTTTCACACCGAGGATTGGTGATTAAATAGCTTACTCTGAGGAACTACACTCACCGGACAGTTTGTTAGGTACACCACCCCATTCACGAAAATATATCGCTCCTACAGAGTGAGTCACGTGGCCGAGGCATTCAGTTACTGTTTGATTTAACGTTAGAATGGGCAAAACGAGTGACCTAAGCGACTTTGAGCGTGGTATGATCGTCGGTGCCAGGCGCGCCGGATCCAGTATCTCAGAAATGGCCGCCCTCCTGGGCTTTTCACGTACGACAGTGTCTAGGGTTTACCGAGAATGGTGCAACAAACAAAAAACATCCAGTCAGCAGCAGTCATGTGCGCGAAAACAGCTCTTTGATGAGAGAGGTCGAAGGAGAATGTCAAGAATCGTGCAAGCTAACAGGCGGGCCACAGACAGACAAATAACGGCGCTGTACAACAGTGGTGTGCAGAACGGCATCTCGGAATGCACAACTCGTCGATCCTTGTCACGGATGGGCTATTGCAAGAGAAGACCACACTGGTTCCTCTCCTATCTAAATAAAGACAAAGTGCCAGGAGGTGGAGGTGGCATCCCCCACTGACAGCTCACCTTGGCCTGCCTACCTGGGGAGACTCTTCTATGTGGGGCCAAACCCCCTGCTTCCACACCCACAAAGGAGACAAGACCTGACCATGGAGGCGCTGCAGTCGTTTCACCTTTCACCTCCTTCATTCTCTCCTCTCGCTCTGTCTGCTTCCATCTCCAGGATATGATAGTTAAGAGGAGAGAGAAGCACCCTTCATACAACCATGTGGTGCCTATAATTGATTAATGGCAAGAAAAATATTTGGTCTTCAGTTAATAATTTCTCTCCCTCCCTCCCTCCCCCCCCTCCCTCTGAAATGACAGCAACACGACTCTGCATCTTCTCTCATTTGAATCCTACTTCAACAAACTAAGAGATAAATAAATAAATAAATAAATAAGCTGACGTTCTCCAGGAATCAACCGCGCCATCTTGAAAGGCCACCAAGTCAAACAGCAGTTTGAGGTGAGGGGAAACCAAAATCAAACTGAAGCCAAGCTGAAGCCTCGCGGCGTCCAGACGTGCCTGCTCTACCACTCCCCGAGCCAGAGGGAGGAAGAGAAAAGAGGGAGAAAGAGGGGTAATAGTGACAGGAAAAAGCCAGAGTCCGAGCCAAGAGCAACAGCATACTACAACCCTCTCTCCATCAGTAAGTAGCACTTAATGCTGCATATCCAGTCAGTTAGAGAGAACCACATCCTCCTGAAGCCAGCCATACTGGAGCAGCACTTTTTCCAATGGTGTAGGAAGAATGGGCGGTGGTCATGTATTTGGGTTTAAATGGATATCAGATACACTCATGGTACAACTATATTGCCCAGAGGATCACCCATGCTAGCTGGGCTGATGAGACAGAATAAAAGGTTTCTAGATTTTGCAAGCAAATATAGTGTATAGGTAGTGAGGGAAAAAGGTATTTGATCCCCTGCTGATTTTGTACGTTTGCCCACTGACAAAGAAATTATCAGTCTATAATTTTATTGGTAGGTTTATTTGAACAGTGAGAGACAGAATAACAACAAAAATATCCAGAAAAACACATGTCAAAAATGTTATAAATTGATTTGCATTTTAATGAGGGAAATAAGTATTTGACCCCCTCTCAATCAGTAAGATTTCGGGCTCCGAGGTGTCTTTTATACAGGTAACGAGCTGAGATTAGGAGCACACTCTTAAAGGGAGTGCTCCTAATCTCAGCTTGTTACCTGTATAAAAGACACCTGTCCACAGAAGCAATCAATCAATCAGATTCCAAACTCTCCACCATGACCAAGATCAAAGAGCTCTCCAAGGATGTCAGGGACAAGATTGTAGACCTACACAAGGCTGGAATGGGCTACAAGACCATCGCCAAGCAGCTTGGTGAGAAGGTGACAACAGTTGGTGCGATTATTCGCAATTGGAAGAAAAACAAAATAACTGTCAATCTCCCTCGACCTGGGGCTCCATGCAAGATCGCACCTCGTGGAGTTGCAATGATCATGAGAACGGTGAGGAATCAGCCCAGAACTACACGGTAGGATCTTGTCAATGATCTCAAGGCAGCTGGGACCATAGTCACCAAGAAAACAATTGGTAACACACTACGCCGTGAAGGACTGAAATCCTGCAGTGCCCGCAAGGTCCCCCTGCTCAAGAAAGCACACATATACAGGTCCGTCTGAAGTTTGCCAATGAACATCTGAATGATTCAGAGGAGAACTGGGTGAAAGTGTTGTGGTCAGATGAGACCAAAATCAAGCTCTTTGGCATCAACTCAACTCGCCGTGTTTGGAGGAGGAGGAGGAATGCTGTCTATGACCCCAAGAACACCATCCCCACCGTCAAACATGGAGGTGGAAACATTATGCTTTGGGGGTGTTTTTCTGTTAAGGGGACAGGACAACTTCACCGCATCAAAGGGACGATGGACGGCGCCATGTACCGTCAAATCTTGGGTGAGAACCTCCTTCCCTCAGCCAGGGCATTGAAAATGGGTCGTGGATGGGTATTCCAGCATGACAATGACCCAAAACACACGGCCAAGGCAACAAAGGAGTGGCTCAAGAAGAAGCACATTAAGGTCCTGGAGTGGCCTAGCCAGTCTCCAGACCTTAATCCCATAGAAAATCTGTGGAGGGAGCTGAAGGTTTGAGTTGCCAAACGTCAGCCTCGAAACCTTAATGACTTGGAGAAGATCTGCAAAGAGGAGTGGGACAAAATCCCTCCTGAGATGTGTGCAAACCTGGTGGCAAACTACAAGAAACATCTGACCTCTGTGATTGCCAACAAGGGTTTTGTCACCAAGTACTAAGTCATGTTTTGCAGGGGTCAAATACTTATTTCCCTCATTAAAATGCAAATCAATTTATAACATTTTTGACATGCGTTTATCTGGATTCCTTTGTTGTTATTCTGTCTCTCACTGTTCAAATAAACCTACCATTAAAATTATAGACTGATCATGTCTTTGTCAGTGGGCAAACGTACAAAATCAGCAGGGGATCAAATACTTTTTTCACTCACTGTATGTGAGTGTGTGTGGAGAAAGACAGTAGGACAGAGAGAGACTTCTCCATTCTGTCACTGAGTTGGGACTAGGTGAGCACTAAGACAAGATTTCTCCCACGCACCATTGCACCCTGGGAAGTCAACCACACCTCCCATAGGGGCTTGTGGAGAGGGAGGTGGGGGGGGGTGGGGGGAATGGGGTGATATCGCTCTCTCTCATCACAGTATAATGAAAATAAACTAGTGTGGAGGAAAACATAGCCGTTGCCAAATGGAAGAAGGCCTTAACAGCCACCCTGAACAACACAAAGCTGACAGCTCAACAAAACGCCTAGCCAGAGCCTTCATTCTGTCTCTGAGGGCTGCAGGTAGGAATGTGATGACACTATGGAGGAGATGAGGTCTTGTTCCCACACCAGGCAGAGAACCACGCTAAGGGTTTGGACACAGTACACTGAAGCAACACTCTCCTTCAGGGACTCCCCAACCATTAGCATGAAGCTAAATCTAAACTGAACACCAATGTAATATGCTAACAATTAATTAGCATTGACCTAAATGGCAGTGTGTGCCCCATTAAGCCAGCCTGCATTGGGCTCTGTTTACTATTGAGTGAAATCATGCAGGCCGAGTGTTCGTATGAGCTCATCGTGCTTTAAAACTAGCTAGACTAGGCCGACCCAAGGTGCATGCTGGACAATCACTAGCATTGCTGTGTGAGCTAGCCTGTGTGGGTGCTGTTTGTATGCTTACTATGCGGTAGGCTTAAGGCATCCTGCACAGTCAGGACAGTCAGCGTGTTTACATGTGGCGTGCGGTACTCACCATAGGGATGCCGGTGGAGAAGATGGTGGTTTTGACCACCTGTTTCTGCTTCTCAATCTGGGTCTCCAGCTGGGCGGCCCGGTCCTTGTGTTGGGCCAGCAGGATAGTGGCGGGGACATGAGAGCGCTCCTGGAGGGGAACATACAAATACAGGTATGAGGTATGTCATCATATTTATGTGTGTGTATGCATTTTCAAAAACCACTGAATCATGATCTAGCCTCAAGCAAAACCCGTATTTAATCCAAGTAAATGATGGGAGGAGCTTCAAAGACTGGCACCTGTAAATGAGATGTGTAACTTGTGAACCTCAGAGTTCACAACATCAATCACACACACCTCCCTATAACTGCACAACTAACAAACTAAGGTGCTCTGAGGCTAGTCATTAGATTATTGATGCAGGCCAGGTTAAAAACCGTGGTGGTATTATGTTGCCTTTTCAAGTACTCTGCTCCTTCTTCATCTCCATTAAGCGAAGGTCGGACATTGTAATTTCACAGGTGGAGTGTTGCCAAGCGTAGAGGTCTAAGAACAAAAAGGCAAGGCATGTCGTTCACAGAGGGAGCAGGGCATTATTGTCGAGGTAGACAGGCGGTGGGGACAGAACTGTGAGTGTTTTCATCACTAGGCAGGAAGGAAAGTGTGGAGCAGAATAATGATCAACTGATGGCTCCTTATCAGGATCTATTGCAAACACTATCAGTCTATAATGATCGCTCGTGTTCGTGTGTGTGTGTGTGTGTGTGTGTGACCCCGGGCCTCAGAGATTTCTACTGTAAATGCTGGCACACAGGAGCGTGTCCCCGGGGGCTGAATGCTCATCTCCCAACAGACAACAGAGGCCCAGGGTTTAAACAAACAGCTCAAACTGCTATCTGTGATAACTCTTTACCAGGCAGCTCTACAGGGCCAATCACTTCCATAGCCTGCCGCTAAACAAAATGGAGCCAGGAGGCTTTGGCAACACAGAATGCTAACAATGCTGAGGGGAAAGCAAAGCTTCAGCAGCCCCACCGCAGGAGTGTGTGTGTGTGTGTGTGTATGTGTCATTGTCTAATTATCTATATCCTGGTTGTTCTTCCTCTTGGATTGTGACAGTATGTATGTCACCTGATTGTTTTAGAACTCTCTGTTTGCTGCAGTTTGCCTGTGTGGTGCTATGTGGCAATCTGTGTTTATTAGTGTGACTGTATGTGGTGTGTGTATGTGTCTCACCAGTTCGTCCAGTAGAGCCTGCTTGCTCTTCCTCTTGGCCTGTAACTGTCTCTGTTCCTCCTGCAGAGTCTCCAGCCTGCGCTGCTCGTTCCCCTGCTGCTCCAACAACAGCAGCTCCTCCAACTCCTCCTGCTCTCGAGTCTGACGGAGGGAGAGAGGGTGGGGTGAGTGAAAAATGAGAGATAAAGAGAGAGAAAAGAAGAGAGGGAGAGGAGTCGGAGAGAAAATAATCAATATCATAGTAGACAGAGTATTGCAGAGGAGGAGACAGAGGGTGCTAGACCATTTAGTACAACAGAATAATGCATAAGCGATGCGCTTCATCAGGCAAAGCAGAGTGAGTCAGTGTGGGGTTACAGGTACCCACCAGCTTGGCCTTGTTCTTCTGGATGGTGTCTCTATTCTCTCTCTGGTAAGCCTCCATGATCTGTTTAGTCCCCTCCACCTCTAGGTTGTTGGTCAGGTTATAGACTGGAAAGGAGAGAGCAGGGCAGCCCTCCATCAACACACTAGCATGGACTTCACTTCAAATGATCTAGGACTGATACTGGAAATCGGATTCGGCACAAGCTAAAGTATGATGTTGCAAAGCATCTGACTCGATAATTCAATGCATTTTAATTGTATAAGTAAGGTTGAATGTTTAAATTGTATCTATCCCTATTCAAATAAACAATTGAAACATATAGGGTTTGCCAGTGCATTTCTATACAAGTATTGAGCCATGTTTCTGACGATGTAAGCATAGGAGGCCGTAGGAGAGGTCTAACACATTGTCACAGTGCAAACACCATCTGACAGGGATCTCTGAGAATTGGCACAGAGAGACTAGTGGGTCTCTGACCCTGGCTGGCACTGATGCCTGTAAAACATCAACAACCAGAGCCAAGGCCAGATCAATGCACTAAGACCAGGCTGAACCCCCCCTATCACCACTGGGTCCACAGCCTCCTCTCACCGATCTCCTCCACTCGCTCCAAGTAGTCATTGTATTCTCTCAAGCTGGAGAAGTCAAAGTCTCTCTTGTTGTAACTGTGAGGGAGAAAAAAGCTAAGAGTTTATATATGTATTAAGCCTAATGCTTGTTTGAAGACATTACATTGAAACAGCAGAGCTAAATAAAGAAAGATGAGGGATGGATAGAATAGGAGGGGCTGAGAGGCAAAAGTATGGCAGGGAAAGAGCTTTCCTATTTGAGCAAACCCTGGGGGGCCCATTGTCTACAAAACAAACAGCATCATGACAAAGACAAAGGCAGCTTAAGGAGAGGGAGGAGTGGGCTGAACACACAGAGACACACCCTTCTCCCCCGTACCCCTCACTCACATCTTGAGCACCTTCTTGCGGATCTCCACCTCCTTGTCGATAGCGGGGTCTTCAAAGAGCTGCACGCGGAAGTTACTCTTCCTCAGGGGCGTGTCGCACTGCACACAGTTCCCCGAGCCGCGCACAAACAGCATGTCCACACAGCTCTCACATCTGAGAAGAGGAGACAGTAACACAGATATGGTAAACCAGTGTTTCACCAAACTTGGTCCTCGGGACACCAAGTGGTGCATGTTTTGTTTTTTGCCCTAACACTACACAGCTGATTAAAATGATAAAAGCTTAATGATTCATTGATTATTTGAATCACTTGTGTAGTGCTAGGTCAAAAAACAAACGTGCACCCCTTGTGGTCCCGAGTTTGGGAAACCCTGTGGTAAACACATACACACAGCTGTAGAGGAAACTATATTATATGGAGCAGGCATGTCAAAATCTCTTCCCTACTGTATGTGCATGTCTAATGCACTTTTCCTTAGCAATGGCCTGGTGGTATATTTCCATTTGATATAATATGTCTGTGAGTTATCAGCCTCACAGCAGGTGATAATAGCCATCTTATATTTTTACAGTATGAATCATGAATGGAATGTTGATTCCCCCCCTTCTCTCTCACAGAAATTAATCTGACACCCCTGCCATTGAGTGTGTCTGCACTGGAAAAACTGTTTTTTTTTAAAATATCATTTCAAAGGAACTCATAGTCAGTGTGCCACGTTGCATAGAAAACAAAATGTAGTTCAGCAATGCACCCACAGCTTCTCTCATCACTAAACTATTTCAAATTCCACTGATCCTGAAGTTCCCTGAAAGGCTCTAGGTTCTTTCAACATTATCAGGATCATAATCATTTTTAAATGACCTTGAAAGTGCTCTAGCAATTGGCCTAATATTAATTACATTTTACATTTTAGCAGAGATGAGATCAAAACAATGACAAAACAGTTACAGTAGATTTAGGCTAGAGATTAATACGTCATAAGGCATTATAAACTGCATTGATAAAGTAAGTCTAACCACAGGACTACTATTGTTGCATGACACACAAATCCCATCTCATCGTAAGTCAATGTCCACCAATAGGAAAGCATTCCAATGCAGGGGCTTCTTTCCTCCACAACCAATCAGGACAACACGGCCGTAGCAACGACCTGAGCCAACTTTGGGCCGAGCAACATTTACTCATCAATCACATCTTTAAGCAGGTAGGCGTTTACCCATCAATCACACTCAAGTGAGGGGTGGACCCTGAAGACAATGGAGAAGGCCTTAAGTCTTCCCTAAGTAGGCGGCTGAAGGGGCGAGCAGGGGGGCTGGATAAACGTTTTCACAGTCCACTCTTAAGTCTCTGAGAAGCTTTATTCCACTGGAATTCACCTTCTGTAGGCTTCCTGCTCCTAGCTGCCCACCTTCAGAAGCAAGCCCCAACATCTGGTTTCCAAATGGCCTCATCTGGGGTGACTACTGCCGTTTTAACCCCAAATTGTTGTTGCTTTTTCAATGTGATGAAATTCTGGGGGAAATCATCTTGGGCCTCCATTTTTTTTTTTTTTAAGTGTTTGTTTCCAAAGTCGCATTGCTTTCAAAACTTCTTTAGAATGTGGGTCCTTTAGGCCTAGATGCAGTAAAGCCTTTTCACCTCATCAGCAGGATTCTCAATGAAAAAGCAGTTATGGGAGAAACTGCAGCACTATGGGCTTTACCTGTTTACATATCAGATATGGGTCAATCAAAGCAAACTTGCCAAAAGATAATTAACACCAAAACACCCTCTAGTATAGAACAGAGCTCACAAAACATTGCAAATAGGCCTAGTGTTCAACAACTGCTGGATTTGCCACAAAAACATAGATGAAACAAAAGTTATCCTATACGTGGTTGGTCCCCAGGACCATGAGAGAGCCCCCTGATCAAGTGCAGCCCAGAAGGGGCAGATGTTCACTGTGGCCCCAGGCTACAGGAGATGTATAGGCCTGGCCATATGGAGGTAGAAGGGGGGTTTCTGCTTGTTTCCACGGGCCCACAAAGAGCCCATTCATCAAGCAGGGACAGGAGTGGGGCGTAGCTTGCCCCCTGCCCCGTAAATGGACCACACAACGGACCCTCCACAGGGGAAATCCTGTGTAATTCTAGAGCGAAGAGGTGAAGCTATGAGAAGATTGGAGGGAGGAGACTTTCAAAGTGAACTTGCCATCTTTAGGCTAGGTCCTCTCAAGCGAGCCATCTGTATAGGACCCTCTCTCTGATTGTGCCTTTCTCCTGCTGCTGGGCATAAGGGCTTGGGAGAGACCATATGTCTAGCATCATACACACAGTTTCTCCAGCATACGCTCGCTCTCCCTCTTTCTGTCTCTGTTTCCTTCTCTCCCAAGGCTGCTCTCACTGCAGCAGAGTGGTGAGTGAGCCCTGCACCCCCCAGCCCTCGCTCTCCCTCACCTGTCCTGTTCAGAGCTCCTGGCTCATATCTCTCCCATCTGCAGCTGTCAGCAGGTCAGGGGGAGGTAAACAGGGGCCTGGCACAGCAAAGACACACCCACCCCTCCACCACAACCCAAGGGCCAGTGACATTGCCTGCCTGCCTGCCTCCCTCCTCTACGGTAGAGAAGGTAGGAACAACACAGCCACATAGGGGCTGGTTCACCCGTTTCTCCCATGAAGCCCTCTCTATGCTCTGGACTGGGCCTAGGCCCAGACAGGAGATCCCTTTGTGTAGCAATCAACTGTAGTAATCATCAAACACTGCTAACCTGCTGTGACGCCCTTTTCCTGCCTGTGACACCCAACACATTTACATTTACGTCATTTAGCAGACGCTCTTATCCAGAGCGACTTACAAATTGGTGCATTCACCTTATAGCCAGTGGGATAACCGCTTTACAATATGTTTATTCTTTTTTTTTTTTGGGGGGGGGGGGGTAAGGGGGGGTAGAAGGATTACTTTATCCTATCCCAGGTATTCCTTAAAGAGGTGGGGTTTCAAGTGTCTCCGGAAGGTGGTGAGTGACTCCGCTGTCCTGGCGTCGTGAGGGAGCTTGTTCCACCATTGGGGTGCCAGAGCAGCGAACAGTTTTGACTGGGCTGAGTGGGACCTGTACTTCCGCAGAGGTAGGGGGGCCAGCAGGCCAGAGGTGGATGAACGCAATGCCCTCGTTTGGGTGTAGGGACTGATCAGAGCCTGAAGGTACGGAGGTGCCGTTCCCCTCACAGCTCCGTAGGCAAGCACCTGCAGAGCCACAGCCAAAAAACACTGGGACACTTGATTGGCTCTTAAAACTAATGGGAAGAGGAATGTTATAAATTACACTGTACAAGCATAAAACAGGATATTTTTGTTTCTTCAATTTCATTCAAACATAGTAAATCATAATCAACACATTGTCTATGAAAAAATCTAATTTTTGTGACAGATGAGATTTGGTTCTGGGTTCTGAGTGTAAATATTGTGCATCAACAATAGCACACCAAACCTTGAAATCATGAGTTATCAAATGACCAGCAGCCGGGACAGTCAAAAACAATTACCAATGTGTGTGGTTGCAGTTTCCTAGCAGCACCCAAATAATCTGGTAAACAGTTCTTAAGAGCACCATCAAGGTGACTGGAGCTAGGAAGGGCGATCCTCTAAATTGCTTTATTGCAAAGTTATTTAAATATTCTCCAAGGGTGACCCTGCGTCCAGATAGAACAGAAGTTATGAGTGTGCTGACCTGATGACGAAGCACGGCCACTTCCTGATGGTACGGATAATAAACATACAGGGTCTTACATATGCTCCAGCAGACACCAGCATTTTCCTCACGCTCCACTGTCACTGCATAACAACACCCATAAAATCGTGGAGACTGGGAGGACGTCTGGGCTTACAAACAGGGGAAGTAATTGGGGACAGCTTTCTTGCAATCTTTTTCTGTTACTTCCAAAGAGACTGAGGCACTACATCAACCAGAGTTGATATCTATATGGTTACAGTTCAGTATCACATGTTCTTATAATAAAAATAAACAACAAGCCAACGTTGTCTATTTAAGTGATAATGCCCGAGAAGCCGGTGTTTGGAGGATATATTTGGCACGGGTGTTGTTAAGCCCGCGACGAAAAATAAACCTGTGCATACTGTACAGCTTGTAAACAAGACACACTGAGACACACTGAGACAAGCAGAAGTGTTTATGTTACAGCTAGAAAGGGAAGATGAAAAACGGCAAACATGTTGACATCATGCACCTACATAGTTCTTCACTTTCAGCTTTGATAGCTACATAGCAGATTAAACTCAACTCCACGAGTTGAGTTTAGTCGGCTAGCTCCATAGCAGAAGTACCACTAGCTAACATTACAGTTTATTTTCTATTCCTTGTTGTAGTTGTCTGGCTAAATAACATATATAACGGGTTGAAACCCTGCAGCTATATCTATGAAGCTAGCTAGGTAGGCTAGCTCGTTTGGTCACTGCTGCGCTTGCTAGCTAGTTAACATGAATGGATACTCACAGCGTGTGGCCACAAACGTTCACCATCAGTTTCAGGGACGGATTCCTGTATTTTGTTGTCTTGCATCTCGGACACCCTTGGTCGTCCATCTCTACAAAGCACAGATATGAGAGAAAACAGATGTCAATAACGAACTAGCTAGTAAGTTAGCAATCTTTCTTGACAGTTCACTCAAGCGGTCAAATGTGTCACCTTAAAATAGTCCCGATGAGAACGTCGCTGGTAAGAACTGTTCCTAGTTAATGCTTCCTCAAAGCGCACCTCACAAAGAGGACAAATGCACTATAGTGATAAATATTGTTATTGTCCAATGATTACAAGAATAAACTCACACACGACCATTTCAGAATTCCACAATGCTTAGTCCTACCGGTATTTCAAAAATGTAAACTGAAATGATGCATATTCATTTGAAAACATGAGACACTCACTAGAATAATCAGCAAAAAACATTGTTAATAATAATAATAATAGGCTAAAAATAATACCTAATGATAATAGGTTTATGCATCATCTATATATTATTTTTGCATTATGATAATCAAATAGCCTATAATTTCATTTCCATTAGCCAAGCTAACTCATTAGCCTAACTTTCATCAGTTTGCTTTTTTACATTAATCGAAGTTGGAATTGAAGGCATAATGGCAAGGGTAGGCTTTCATCTCACCGAGTATTTATTTATTTCTCTAAAAGGGGCAGTCCATTGTCACATAGCTCAGTTGGTGCAGTAAAAAAATAATATGCCATAATGCAGACTTTATGGATAGTATTTTCCGCTCCCATAACAAAATCCCAAACACATTTACCTTGTACAGGTAAGCCTCTGAAATACGTTACGTCATGTTTGAGTGACAGCTGCAAACCAAACACTCGTCTCTGGATCGCGGTCGCTCCTCCCTGGCGTAGTCCGTCGTAACCAATTGGGTGGCTCTCCTGCAGACAGACCCCAATGCCCCCTTCTTGCTACAGTTCCCGCAGAGTAAAAGTCACGTTGGAACTAAAGGGGAGAGCTATCCATTTACAGCTGCTGCCAGATATTCGATCGCGTTCGCATGGCGAGGGGGTAACCTGATCGGCTGAAGGCTTGCCGAAACCAGGGAGGAGTGACTTACCAGGAAGGCTTGAAAAATGTATTCTTCTTCAGGAGAAGTCACAATTTCAAATAACATCAAGAAGGAAAATGTAAAGACGGACAAGCGAGAGTGCATCAAGCTTCTAGCGCTGGATACGGCGGAGTTGTCTATGGAGCGCGCAACTTCGAACACTGATGCAGTCCACAGTGAACTTCTGGTGAGCGCGGCTTCCTCGCTGGCATTCTCCCCCGAGCAAGTGGCGTGCGTCTGCGAGGCTCTGCAGCAGGGAGGCAATGTGGACCGGCTGGCCAGGTTTTTATGGTCCTTACCACAGAGTGACCTGCTACGTGGCAACGAAAGCATCCTGAAAGCCCAAGCTCTTGTCGCTTTTCATCAGGCTCGGTACCAGGAGCTCTACAGTGTTTTGGAGAACCACAACTTCAGTCCATTCAATCACTCTTCGCTGCAAGAGCTATGGTATAAGGCACGGTACACCGAGGCAGAGAAAGCGCGGGGGAGACCCCTGGGCGCCGTGGATAAATATCGCCTGCGGAGAAAGTACCCACTACCCCGGACTATCTGGGACGGGGAAGAGACAGTATACTGCTTCAAAGAGCGGTCCCGCAACGCGCTGAAAGATCTATACAAGCAGAATAGATACCCCTCTCCAGCCGAGAAAAGAAACCTCGCTAAAATCACGGGACTGTCCTTGACGCAGGTCAGCAACTGGTTCAAAAACAGGAGACAGAGGGACAGAAACCCGTCCGAAGCACAATCAAAAAGGTGAGAAAATAATCCGTTGATTGCTTGATTTTACGCAAATGGCACAGTGTGCGTAATGGCGTACTAAATTCAATAAACTCATAAATGCATTACCAGGAGTCATTTTGAGAGATTATTGCTGGCAAGGTCGAGCAGGCTTGCCTTGTATCATACATGCACACCTGACTGTAGCCTCTAACTATTGCGTTGTAATCGCTCATAGAGCTTGGTGTGTGAATTGACAGCGTAAATCATTCACATTATAATATTGGCACAAAAAATAGTGTGCCAGGTAGCATACACGCCGCTAATGTTTTGAAATATGAGGCTGTTGCCATCCAGATCAGGTTTCATTTGCGTGTTCGGGCACTAAGAGCATGGACACTAGTCCAACATAAGCCTACTCTATTCCAAATATAACTTTCATAGTCTAAATTGTGTTATAATGGTGTTATAAATAAGTTGTTTTTATAGATGTAGCCTATAAATATGAATAGTCTCCGTTCTTGTGTGTGTTTGTGTGTGTGTGTTCAAAACCAACTGAATCCAATTCTCACCACATAAATCACTTTGGCAATTTACTTTTCCTCTTAAGCCGGGGGGAATCGGAACACCTCCCCCTCATTAGAAAATCCCCCACCCCCAGACAGATAGATATTATTCCCTTCTTTTTATGTTTTCTTCTCTGTGAGCAAAGCTCGCGCGCACCTGGTGGAGGTGACCTCTTACCCACCCGGCACACGCTGGTTGAATCAACGTTGTTTTCCACGTCATTTCAACGAAATTACGTCGAACCAGCGTGGAATAGACTTTGAATTGACGTCTGTGCCCAGTGGGTACTCTCTCTCTCTCTCTCTCTCTCTCTCTCTCGCTCTCTTTCTCTCTCTCTCTCTCTCTCTCTCTCTCTCTCTCTCTCTCTCTCTTCTTCCTCTCTCTGTCTCGCTCGCTCTCACCACAAACTTCCCAAAAGATGATGTCATAAATTGCTCAAAGGCATTTCCACTTCATTCCAGTTTGTGTGGGCCAATAATTATATTGGCAATGACTAAACATTATTGTGCTTTGAGTGACAAAATAAGTGATTATAAGCCGGAGTTATTGAGTTAATTTATGGAGAAGAGGAATAGGTTTTACGCTTCTTCAATAATTGGCATACAGGCCTCAGGACGATGAAGAAGAAGTTTCTCAGAGTCAATGAGGCTCTTTATTTTAGGGAAATGCAGGTGTTTCAGTCACTCACTCATGGTGAAAAATACGATTCAGATGGCATTGTTCGATTTCCTAATATTTTACTAACATTATTAACATAAAAAGTGAAGCTACGCCAACAGAAAAATAAAAAAACGTTATATGCCAATGACCACTTAAGAAATTACAAATAAAGGTATTTGACCATTTGTGTTGTCATGCTGCGACCACTTGCATTTGTGACCCCGTAATTTATTGCGCCAAATGGTAGGCCTGAAGGAGTATAACTAAAGGAGGGCTATAATACAATTTACTCTCCATGTGGTAAAACGTTTGGTAGTAGACTTTCCTCATTAAAGCCATGTTTGTGAGATCTCCATGGATCACCTCTGTTGTTGTGCCCACAAATATCCTATAAAATTATATAGCCTATGTAATGTGGTTGTATCACTATTTCAATAGGCTAAGAGAGTTGAGGTATGGATAAAGTTGCTTTGACATATCAGCCATATTTCTTTGTATGCAAATAATGTATTTCTATGATTATTTCAGTTTCAAAATCTGTCTGTCTCACTAAATCTGTTGGTAGTAAGACTCCACCTCTGCACTCATCAGTGACAGCAACATAAGTCAAACCAGTAGGACAACTTACTTTGCTGAGCTCAATTCTTCCTCATACAATTCCATCAATAAAGTCTACCATGAGTTAAGAAGAGGACATATTTTCTTCAGAGTCCCTGAGCTGCTTTCAATATCTCACTCTCTTCTCCCCCCGGCATTTTTTCCCACAGTGAATCTGATGGCAACCACAGCACAGAGGATGAGTCTAGTAAAGGGCAGGAGGAGCTCTCTCCACGCCCCCTCTCCAATTCATCTGACGGGACGATGACCCATGGGGTCCTCCCCCTGCAGACAGGGTCTCTGGACTGTGGGGTAATCATCCAACAGATTGGGGACATCAAGATGCCCCCTGGATCCAGCAGCGGGGTGCTCTTCAATGGAAACCTAGTGACAAGTAACCCCTCCACTGTCTTCCATAACGGTGGCTCGTCTTACCTCCAGGCCCCCAGCAACATCCTGTTCAATGGGCTCAACCTGGGTGTCCAGCCCCTGGCCTTCAACCCCCTGCGGCCCTCTGGGGGGGTCCTGATGGGGGGCTCTGGCGTGGACATGCAGATGCAGGCAGGCCAGGAGAAGGGGCTGGGCGGCTCCAGTGTGGACTACGCCTCCTACTCCGGCTGTGTAAACGGGGCAGAGGTGAAGCTGGAGGGGGTTCACAGCATGGCAGCTCAAAATGGCGACTCGTCCATCCTCACGTTCAGCTCGTCCTCAGGGGCGCTCCAGCTGGGCGGTTACAGTCTGGTCCACGTGCCCAGCGGCGTATCCGACGGCGAAGGGACGTCACTGCTCAACAGCAACTTGGGTCTTCCTCCTCTGCAGCTCCCCTCTGGCTCCTCATCACTCTCACAAGGTGGGTTGACTTTACCTCATCTACGTGGTTGTGTGTGTGTGTATCTGGGGGTGTTGGGCAAGGCAGAAGATACATTTCCATTCTAACCAATGAACAATAATGTTGTATTCTATTCTATTCTACATTGAAAACAAAAAATCCACATTTAAGTTGTGCTGATAGCAGTTTCCGAGGTATTGGTGACAACTAGACTGTTCTATATATAGTATTATAGCATTTTAGGTGCTCTTCCAACTGCTAATAGAGAAAGAGAAGTGTGCATTACATTAAAATGGTGGTGGATGACCCTAACCTTTCAAACATCTAAAATATTAGAGCAACTAAACCCCTCTCCCCTTCAATAAAATGTATGAGTCCTAGGTTGAAATGGAAATGGGTGTAGTCACCAGCTCTGTTATGCATTCAATATGACTGAGCTGCCTTAGCATTTGGCCTTCTTGACTTTGGGTCTGAGCCCAGAGGCTTTTTACTACACTGCAATGAGTTGGGGCTGGACGCAAAGGCCACACACAGACACACACAGACACACACACACACACACATCCATATTTTCTTGTGTGGTGATATAAGGTGGTCCTGGAAAATTATAGAGATGAATGGAACACAGGTTCTGAAGTCATCATCAGTCATCATCACTGCACACTCCTGACCTCAGGGGGAGAGAGGAGGAGAATCTGTTTAAGACAATCACAGGACTGAAAAAAACATACTAACGAGGAGAGAGTCATTACAGCACTTAATTTGACACAAAGCAGAGAACCCATACCAGGACAACAGCAAAGTAAAATGGAAAGAAGAAAGCCTTCTTGCTGGCCCATAGCAGGCTTTTACATCAATACAACTATCCTGGGTCCCACAGGGCCATCTTAAAAAAACATGGAGTTGTGAGAGAGACACAGCAGAGATTTCAGATGGAATTCTGCTGCAAGTTAGAGTAGGAGTGAGTAACAGTAAGAGTGAAGCCAAAGATTTACAGAACTATGTTATAGTCAAGAAAGAGAGGAGGTTATAGTGGTTCAGAGATAAGAGTATAAAGTACTGTTAGACGAATGAAGTATGAAGTGTTTAGGCTAATGATCTGTCATTTGAATATCTCAGGTACAATCCAAATGAACAATGTAGCAGTCAGTTCTTCCAGTGAGGACTCCTACCACCACCAGCACCATCAGGACAAGCTGGGCATGGCCCCCATGCACCCCAGCACGGTGCTCTACAACATGGGCGATGCTGGACAGACCTCCATCAAAAAGGAGCCCCTGGAGGGAGGTGGGGGCGGTGGGGTGTACTCCTATCACCATGGCCTTCACATGGACCCCAGTGGGCAGCTCAGCTACTCCTCAGCCCCCCTAACCTCAGAGGAGGTCCCCTCCAGCCAGGGCTCCTCCTCTGACGTGACAACGGTCAGCTCCTCCAGTCCAGAGCCTGAGGTCTACACCACCCTCACCGTCAGCACCCCTCTGATGGTCCAAACAGACCCTAACGGCCACCAACTCCAGCCTGGGGAGTACCTCAGGGGCCACAACCCACAGCCTGTCCCCTCCTCACACCTGCTGGGCCCTGGCATGAACAACAACTACATGTCTGTTTCGGAGAACAAGGTGGACGCTAGTGGTGGTGGGGTGAATGAGATGGTGCGGGTCATGTGTGGGGAAATGGAGCCGGGGGAGGAGAAGGAGCTGGCCAAATTACAGACAGTGCAGATGGAGGAGGACATGGCTGACCTTTAACCTGTAACCTATGACCTTTCATAAGCACTCATATCTGCCCAAGCAGATATGGTGAATCTTTTTACTATGTGTTTTTTTTTACCATTCATTTCCTCTAACTGTTAAATTATTTGCTAATGTTGTGTTCATTTTACATTACAATAAACTCTATTCAGATACAAACCCCTTGGACTGGCACCATGAAGTCGTCCTAACTAAATATTTTAAAAGCCCCCGATCTTTCCTCTATGCCTCGCAGAAAGTCATAACTAGCTGTCCCTTGCATTCATTTGAACCACATTTTAAGTGTGCATTTTTTAAAGAACACACCTGCTACTTCCGGTTGAGTGGACTTGATCTGCAGAACAGGTGTTGGAATGGCCCTCGTCATGTGACCAGGATGTTCCTTCAAACTAAGTGTGTCATCTGGGTGAAACCAAAAAGGTCATTTAGTAGGGGCAGGGGAGCGTCTCTGTGAAAATGTTAATTAAAACCACTACTACTGCTGCACTGAAAACCACACATAAAAGCACATAGGAATAACAGGAAAACCCATTGTGCACAGCAGTTGATGATTTACGCAATTTAGTCCTTCAATAAGAAATTCATGTACATTCTGCCTCGTAAAATGTCAGACTTAAAATGGGCGCAGGTAGCCTCAAGGTTAGAGTGTTGGGCTAGTAACTGAAAGGTTGCTGGTTCAAATCCTGGGGCTGACAAGGTGAAAAATCTGTTGCTATGCGTTTGAGCAAGGCACTTAACCCCAATTGCTCCAGGGTCACTGGACAATGGTGAGTCCACTCCCTGTGGGTGTCTCAGGGGGAGTTGGGATATGTAATGGACAAATATAAGCATCCCCCAAATTATTATTATTCACTGACCTCTCCCAATTTGCACTATTGCATCAAAACATACGATTGTAGCTTCAAAGAACATACCTTTCCCTCTGGGGGAAACCTTAGCAAATCAATACTGTGATATTTGTTATAATGTGTAAAACATATTTCAAGCTTCATATATTTCAAGCTTCAACCATTATTGGAGACAGGGTGAGGTCATAAAGGGGCTGTTACACAGTCTGTGTCTAAATGAACATAGTAAGACCTCTATATGCTGTTTGTTACGTTTGGCAACAGTATGTCCCATCATTCATTTCTAAATGTCTCACAAACTGTCTTTGTGAAAAAATACATCAATGATATTTTTCTACAAAGATGCACGCACATTGACTGGTGTGCCTGTTTGTGTGTTTGTATGAGAAACTGGGAGGGGAGCATTGTGTTTGATGGAGGAGAACCACATGCAGGCTGATGTGTTTTATATGGAGAGGGATTTCTATTGTGTCCCTTTGCATGGCAAACTGAGTTAACAATATTAGAATGTCTTGTTACTAGTGCCTTTTACTTTTAATTGTTAATTGTAAATAAGATTGAGTGTGGCTAACAAGTTCTCTACACTAAATGATTGATGTGTAGGTGCAGAGTGTGACACATGCAATGCATTCATGGGTTTCTGATAAAGTTTAGCTATTTCACTTTGGGTCATTTCCTGGTTTTGTCAGATAGGGGCATAAGGCCTGTTATGTTAATGTTGAGAGTAAGTGGACCTCATCAGTCAACAAATGTATCTGGAGCACACAGACACACAACACAAAACCATTATACGCCATCTCAACCGCATGACCAGCAGATGTCATTTACACATAACAGTAAGACAGACAGTAAGACATAGAGTGGCCAGTACATTTTTCTTTGTCAGGTTCCATGACCTAAACCCCCATTCAGAGTAGTGCTATGAACAGACTGAAAACGGACATAAAGAAGACATTATAGAACAACTTTGTCTACTTGCTCTGATGTCATATACCAAAAATTAGCCATAGGCATATGGTAAAACAGATTGTTTTTTATTTGATCTTGAACTGTATGTTTGTAATCTGAAATGATGTGAATGTATTTTTCTAAATCTCCATACTTCATTAAAAGTTTATATTTATAAAAATATAAAACTGTTACACTTTTTTGTCATTAACAAAGTTTTACCTTGGCTCCTTTACCAATAATTTCTAGATTAATTTTTTATTAAACATTTGAGTTGGGTTTGTGTTTAATGTTATGTCTACAGGGGACCTACATTCTCGAGACAGGAAGCATATATCTTCTATATATTTAAAATACTTAAAAAGCCAAACTCTGTGATGATGGGGGTGTAACAGCCGTGCCCTAATCCAACAAGCCTAGAACTGTGCTCTGCAAACCTGCAGTGATCATTTGCACATGCCTGGCAACCTGGAGTTCATTAGCCCTCCTTTTCTCATCTCAGCCCCCGTAATTCAAATAAACAGCAATGAGATTTCCAGAGGTACTGCTCTTAGGGGTGGGGGGTCTACAGCTCCAAAACACCCTGTCCAAGGGCCCTCTCCCTGGGCTAACCCAGAGCAAGCCCTGCCTGGCTCACTCAGCCAACCCACAAGTGGACGAATGAGTCTGAAGTGCTGTCACTCACAGGCACTGTGTGTCTGTACAGAGAAAGCCTGAACTGCTCACATGGCTTTGGGGGATTTTACATTATCTTCCACCCAATTCTGATTCACTCCGCTGGATCCCAAATAAGGCTAAGTAAGATGGGGGGGTCGTGGATAGGTAGATGGAGAAATTGTAGTGGTTTTGAGACTGGACTATAGGCCTTATCCTCTTTGTAGATCATTTTTATGGGTTCTATGCAGATGACCCAAATAAACAGAAGGTGTTTGTCTCCGCTCACTGAATGGTGATGAGGCCCGGACAGAGACGGGGGAGAGAGGGGGAGAGAGGGGGGAGAAAAGGAGCTGGAGAGCCAGGTTACACTGGTGTATGGTTACCTGTGCACAGGTGACCTTGCCACAGGCATTGGATTAGCTGATTGTTAGGTATCAGGTAAGGCCTCCTGTAATATTGAAGAGGGTGAAAAAGGCTTTGTTGAAGCCCTGAACAATGTCCCATTGGCAACTGGAGCCCATGTTCTGTTGGTCTCACGGGGTGGGGCCCCTGAAAGCTCCAAATTCCACATTTTTATTGTGCCTGTAGAATGGAAAGAAATGAACAGCACATTCAGTCCTTTTTTACGGAAGACTAAACATTATTTTGAAGAACATTTCTACATATGTTTGTAATATTGCTATTTTATTTTAATTACAGTAGCCTACAAGGCAACCTTGATAGACGTATTGCATATTTTATTTTTCCAAAAAGTAACGAATACATACATCACTTTAAAAATTACACACTTGTTTATATAAGATGCTTCCAGCAGCTATCGTTTATGATCAAGTACACTCCAATCCAACGTCATAATAATGTTACCAAAAAGTGGAAGAAGAAAGTAGGCCTATTATTTTTTCCGCAATTTAAAACGTACACTGTAAAACATGCACGGGCGAGCAGTAAAAGAAGGGAAAACCCCCCAGAACCGAGGCCTTATTAAAAACGGTGACCTCTGATCTCTTGAATAGTTTCAAAGATGACATTTAATGCGGCGCAGCAGACTGCAAGCCATATGTAACATGACCTGGGGTGCGCGGTACTGCGCTGATCCACGTCCCACTCACTAATGAGAGGCCAGGGGTCGCTGGGTGCTGCACCGCTCCAACAGACCCACCACCAATACTTTACCCACTGAGATTAATTTGTTGGGTTCCGAAAGAGAGAAGTAAATAAATGAAAGTAAATTTAGTAAATGTAAGTAAAATGATGCATTGTTGTTGAAAACGGGCACTCTGCGGTGTTTACGATGTGAGATGTGTCTGTGCGTAAAATCCATTGGGAATGACAGAGGTTATGAAAAAATGTATGCACTCACTAACTGTAAGTCGCTTTGGATAAGAGCGTCTGCTACATTACTAAAATTTTAAATGTTAGGCTAGTTGTTTTCACCATCAAAACCACAACGCAGTTTTTGACTTTGACTTCAGATAATTGAGTTATCAGGCGTGAGAAAATATCTGCACATGTTCAGTCCATCATCCACAATGAAAGGGAAAAGGAAAGGTGCGACCTGGGGCGATTTAATGGTCGGTTCTGCACTATAAGGGCAACGAATAACATATGCGTAAAAACGGTCCAAACGTGCACTAGTAAACGTCCCCTGATTACACGTGCCGGTGTGTTTCCATCCATCTCTATATCTCTCTTTTTCTCCCCCTCACTCACACACTCTCACACACACACGTTGTTCGCCACTGAAATGTAATACGTTGAGAGAGAGGCAACAGCTGGGAGGCCGCATCATCTCCACACCACACTGGTCAGATGGTATTTCCCAGAGAAACACACCACTTTGTAACAGGAGCGACGCAGATAAGACTCATATGACTATTGAAGAGTTAGACTTCGTCTAAAAGCCATTAAAGCATGACAGCTCCTTTCGCCATGCCGAATGTCACCTGCCCAATATATGTTTTATTAGTTGTGTTCCCAACACTCATAGACATTTTAAATTCATTTAAAATATAATTTAGCACATTAACACTGATTATAGGCTACTCTCCAAGTAGCCTAATTCATCGGAGGCTCCGTTTTAGTCATTGTGAATATATCACATCTCGATCTGTGCGTAAGGCAATTGGGTTGTCGTTTATAAGCTGGCGCCCCCTCCCTGCCAATAACCTTACACGTTGTCTGAAACCAATGGTTTCAAATGGTTAAGAAAATGAGGACAATACGACAAAACATTGTGGTTATTTTATTACATAGAACGCGTATAGGCCTACGGCAAAGCCTCTTAATCGAATTATATTTTAACAACATCAGGACCAAAGCGTGTTTACTGACCTGCTGTATAATAACCGTTCGTAGCCTATGAGCTGGCCCTGCGAGGAAAGTGAGCCGTAATGATTTTGATGGGGGGTGACCGCAGTGCTCTTATAAAATGCCTAATTTTCTAACATGACAGGATACTATGTTAAGCTGATAATTGCGGCTGCAATTTGATTTAACTCATTCATGTCAACAGTTGTGTTTTGAGAAAGCAGTAACTAATTCGGAGTATTGCACTTAAAGTGATGAATAGGCTTGTATTTTTACTATATAGGCCCTATGTAGGGCTGGGTCTATAGGCCATTACAAACTAACAGAATATAAATAAAATCCAAGTCGTGGTAATTCATTAATCAAATAATTTCGTCACAAGTGAGTGAGTTAAATTATCAATTATATTTTATAATAATAATAATAATAATAATAATAATAATAATAAAAGATTGTCATTTATACAGACACAACATAGGCCTAAGCCTATATTGGGTTATAAAAAATATAGACAATCTAAATGTTATGTAACCTAACAAAATACATACATTTTTGTTTAAGAATGCTTGCTGAATACTTTGCATAGTTTGAATATATATAGGCCCATGCAACGAATTAATGCGGGGTGGCAAATATTACAGGCCCAACTTTTTATTGAAAAAAGGCTATAGGCCTATGTACCGAATTATTTTGATTTATCCAAGTAGGCTAGATATCCTAAGGAAAGCCACTGGACTACATACATTCCATATTTTTCAGGCAATTTGAACAGTATCAGCATTGTTCCAGTAAACAGCTGAAATAGCAGTTTTGATTTAGCGAAACCCATCTGCTAGGGTATTGCTTGTGTTAACCCGGCCTTGCTGGACTTTCATAATTTTACTCTCTCCCCCTTTTTACGAAGAAAAAGCTTCACTCACAAAACGCCACATATAGACGGTTTGATATGAAATATGGTGACGTTTTTATGAAGTGCTTTATGTTTTTGTGGCTCGGTTTCTTTCTCCCTCTGGTTGTGTGCAGGGACGTGGCCAGTCGTCATCGTTTCTCGTGGGCAGTGGAGGGGTGTCCACATCTTGAAATAATCACGACCTGAGATCGGGCACGTCCCCCTGGCTTCTCCGGTTAAAGGAGGAGGCGCGGCGCAATGTGGTAGAGATATTAGAGAAACCTGAGAGTGGCTCATTTGCTGGTGCATGGGGTTAGAGAACTGAGCGGAGCGAACCCCATAGGTAGGCCTAATGTTGAGGACCGGCATGCCAACCGCACAATATACACCTTTTATTCACTGCAAAATGATGGGGCCTTTGCTTTCGATTGTAGCCTACCCCAACTTAATTCATAACTTATTGTACTGTCTGATTTGCATGACAGAATGCACATCTCTTAGCCAACGTTACGCTGCTTGGGATGCTCGTTAGATTTTGTTTTCATTTATAATCAGTACAACTGGGAAGGTCGAGCAATTATACATGGCTATAAGTTCATCAGGAGGCAGTTATGTTGAGATCATAATATGATCTCAGCAAAGCTTTGAGTCTTAAACTTCATTTATTGCATACCCTCGTTAATAAGATTTTATGATGGAAGGTTCATTTACAAAAAGTGCACCTAAGTCAATATTATAATCTTTATGGTAAGAGGCCATTATTTCCCGACTGATGAAGCTGGATATACTAGATCCGCCTCTTGTCCAAGCACGAGGTAGCCAACAGTTTGTTTTTGCAGGTGTCTGAGACCACAAAAACAATTGATAAAACCAACGCTCGATTAAACCCTATTAACTGGTAGTGGTGTATAGAATACCAATATGTTAACAGTTAATTAGACTATATTTCATTAGTAATATCACATATTGGTTAAAGATGTAGCCTAACGGACAGCAGAAATAATATTGCCTGCCCTAGAAATGCTCCTTTCGGGTGTCTAGTTCTCAACGTGTTGCCCGAGAGTCAAGTTGCGAAACCTGGGAAAGATAAAGAAATTTGATCTATCCTTCAAAATAACGACTCAACGACCAAGAGCCTGTGACTCACATCACTAATGTACTAATGGATAGGTGTTATGTTTCACGCCACAACATTGAGGACAGCAGGGGAAAGACTATTTCCAAGAAAATAACCTTGGGAGAGCCCGGAATATAAATGTACATAATTTCCAAGAAATATAACGTTTTCACACCATAATAAATTAACAATTAGTGCATTATAGTAGCCTAGGCTAAAATTGACTAACGCGAATTGAAACGAAACAACATAAAAAACCCCCAGATACAACAGAATATCTAAATGATTAAATATAAGCCTAATGGTGTAAACCATCTGCAAAAAAAAACTACAATAAACACATTATCAATGGACATTTCCATCAATGTGCTAACATCTCTTTTGGTTCAGCCAGTCAGGTAGGCCTATGCATTGGTGCACATGCGTAAAGAGGAGTCGAGTCACACCAATAAAATATAATGCAATAGCCCACGTTAATACTGATGTGCAAACTGAATATCATAACTTTTGGTTTATTAGGGCTATTATTTTTACATTAAATAAAATGAGAGGAAATCTATTCCATCATCTATACCACACGATGCTTTTTGAACATGTCCGTTGTAAACTCAGTGAAGTTGCTACATTTGAGGCATGTTTAACCTGTAAGAAGGCTACTGTTCTACAATATAAGGTCTAGGCCTATAGCTTTCTTTAATCAATAGAACATCATGCAATATTTACATCTAGAGGCCTTACAAATAACTAACCTAAGTTATTTTTTGAATAAGATGCATTGGTGCTTTAAACCCATGCCAGTTTATTTACAATCTCAATACCTGCACCCCACTGGGTACAGATCGCAGTTCAACGTCTAGTTTTGATTTACATTTGGTTGTTTTCAACTAACGTGAATTCAACTTGAAATCTACAAAAAATGTCACCATGTCATTGGATCTAGGTTAAAAGTTGAGTGAAAAAAAGATTAAATGCCCTTAAGTTGATGACTTTTTGCAAATCCAATCAGTGTTCCACGTTGATTCAATGTCATCACACAGATTTTTTTGGTTGAAATGACATGGGAAAAACGTTGATTCAACCAGTTTTTGCCCAGTGGGATGTTTCTTTACCTTTCTTTCCTGTCTGAAAGCCTTTTTGGCAGGCACTCATGGCATGTATAACTATCATAGGAAGTTATACAATTATATCACCTCATAAAATAAACTACTTGATAATTAATAGACTATGAAAAATAGGAGGGAAATACACAATCTGCGTGCTATTAACGCGAATGCAAGATGAGAGGGGTTGACAGTGACAATAATGAATAATGCATATGATGCAATACATTACCTCAGCTATATTCATCGAACTCTTACTTAACTTCAAGCCCTGTTAGAAACTCTAAAAAAAAAGCATGGGAGGTTCTGCATGGAGAGAACATGATAAAAATGCACTTTAAGCGGTCTGTAATAATTGATTAGCATTTAGGTACCTCTGCTCCCTCCGCTAACGCTGGAGAGGAGTATGGGGTGGGGGGCTCAAATTTCAGCCCCTGACGTACTCCCTCCAGGGAGGAAACGGAGCTGCAAACTCAATTCTGCTCCGCTGCCAGGGTATAGGGCAGTGGGAGAACCAATCAACGAATCGCGCAGCGCTCTCTTTAAGCCTGACATATCTCCAACAGGAACAAATTGTCCCAACAATCAACATCCGAATCTCCCGTGCGCATCAGGGGTTGAGTGGATATTACCCGGGCGGATTGCACTGGGTTCTGGAACACAATAACAAACCAGTGAAGAATATATAGACAGAAAAACAATAGACTCTCGGCATCCTTCTGGATATCACCGTTGGGCTGGGGACCCGACATCATGTCAATACTACCTTCGTTTGGGTTTACCCAGGAGCAAGTCGCCTGCGTCTGCGAGGTCCTGCAACAAGGAGGGAACCTAGAGAGGCTCGGTCGTTTTCTCTGGTCTCTCCCAGCGTGTGACCACCTCCACAAGAATGAAAGTGTACTGAAAGCAAAGGCAGTGGTCGCCTTCCACCGAGGGAACTTCAGAGAGCTCTATAAGATCCTGGAGAGCCACCAGTTTTCCCCGCACAACCATCCCAAGCTGCAGCAGCTGTGGCTGAAAGCGCACTACGTGGAGGCGGAAAAATTGCGCGGCCGACCGCTTGGAGCCGTGGGGAAGTATAGGGTCCGCAGGAAATTCCCTCTGCCCCGCACGATCTGGGACGGCGAGGAGACCAGCTATTGCTTTAAGGAGAAGTCAAGGGGTGTTCTGAGAGAGTGGTACACGCATAACCCCTATCCCTCCCCGCGAGAGAAAAGGGAGCTGGCCGAGGCCACGGGACTGACCACTACGCAGGTCAGCAATTGGTTCAAAAACAGACGCCAGAGAGACAGAGCCGCAGAAGCTAAAGAAAGGTATGTTTTGGCCAAAAAGTAAAATGTTGCCATATATACCTATTAGTCCATAGTAGAATAGAATACACTAAACATCATCACATGCGTAATCTCCCAGTTGGAATTTCGTTTAATAAATCCCCAACTAATTTATTTTAAGTGACCTGCCCTTATGCTGATTTTTAGATGGCCCAAAATAATATTAGTGTAGATTTATACTGAATGTTTTGTCGATTGTAAGTTACAATTTATCCACAGTAAATTACATTTCCAACATTTAGTGTGATACCCATAAACAAAGCCTGTGGCCTGCAAACATTTGAAATGGAACCAATGACAGCCTATTGACTATCCTTATTTTTTCGATAGTGTTCTAAACATTTCTGGCATCTGAAGAAGTTATAGCTATTTAGACAATGTTACATCTACAATTGGAGCTACAGGTCACGGGTTTCAGTCGTCAAGATATAGAATCAGTATGATAAGATATATTATTCTAATGCAATAATTAATAGTATGTGACTAAAAGTTTCCATTTTGCAATTGAAATGTCAAAATAATAAAAACTGATTTAATATTTTCTAAATTGCATTCTCTTAAAGTTTAAACCAATATTGTATTGGCTTGTTCTTGTCTTATTATTTAAATGTATGGCTTGTTTTTGACCTATAAGCCTATAGATTCTGTAAACCTGTGTCCATAAGGTCTTCGTCACTAATTTTGACATATCTTCCCTTCTCAGAGAGAACAGCGAAAACAATAACTCCGGCAACAACAAACAGAACCAGCTGTCTCCCCTCGACGGCGGCAAGTCGCTCATGTCCAGCTCGGAAGATGAGTTCTCTCCACCACAAAGCCCTGATCAGAACTCTTTGCTTTTGCTCCAGGGAAATATGAGTCACCCCGGCGTCTCCTCTTACCCTATGACGGGCCTCGGTGGCGCACAGGCGCTGCACGGAATGCACGGACACCCGCACCAACTCCAAGACTCGTTGCTGGGACCTCTAACATCGAGCCTTGTGGATCTAGGTTCCTAAAGGCAAACTGATACTATCTTTGAAAAGACTGATAACTCTACCAGATTGAGTAGGCCTACATATATGAAATTACACTATGGTAACTTATAACTAGACTGACTTTTGTCTGTCGTTACATTTGGTTAGAACTATAACGCAGTTCCTTTATGCGCTTATCCGATTTAGGAGGTACCCTCCTGGCCGTTAAAATACAATCAAGCCCCCTTTTACGAACTTATGTCAACGAGACACTTAAACTGGACTGCCCTTTTGCTTAATTTATGATATTTTTGTTCAGATTAAATGTATAGCAACTTCCTGCTATGGAAACTAAGAAACAACGTTTTCATTAGAATCATAATAATGAGTTTCCAATAAAACAAAAAAGACGTCACATTTGTTTCATGTGTGTTATTTGTATATCCACTCAATAAAATAAATAGCTTTATATATTCATAGACTATATTCATTCATCCCTTAAATTTATTTAGGGCATGCAAAAAATATGGGCTATAATAAACCAAAACATATTGGTCAGGTTTTCCTCCTTTTTGTAGCCTTGAGGCCTCTACAGTTTACGCACAGTCATGGCAGCAAACAATAAAAAGTTATATACGTAAAACTTTTGTAGAGGGAGTTATTCAAAAAGCAAATTTTGTTACTTAAGCCTCAATGTCACTTGTCACTGCTCACTAATAAAATGAGTGAGATAGTGAGGAATTGGGGTGTGTCACTCTGGATGAACAACTGTCAAAGTTCTCTGTTCAACTCTCCGGACAAAAGCTACATATTTCATCTTTCGTTGAAATTGTTGCTTTAATTTTCACTCAACGTCGTGGGATTTCAGAGATGCTAAAGGCGTTGAAACCAAACCCACGAGAAATCCAGAATAACTAACGTTCGAAAACATCCGGATTGGGAACGTCTAAAATGTGGGCCCAAAATCTAATCAGTAAAAAGGGCCCATGACATGAGGTATGCACAACAGAGCCGTTTTTTAAAGGATATTTAAAGCCATGTTTTGCCTAAGGCGAAGCCTGGTTCTCGCCCGTGGTCCATGAGCGCTGCGGATCATTACGTCTGTGTTGCAGTGTTTACTTTCCTCTCTCCAAGTGTTTGTTCTGTCGGTTCTGGGCCACGGAAAAGCGACACCATCTGCGAAAGGCGCGCTCACGCGATGATCCTACATTAATCTGTAGCCTATTAAGAATAACAAATAGATGTATATTTTAAAAAATATGTCATCCTTACACAGATATGTTCGATATCATGCACACATTTTAGAATTACAATACAATTACTATTGAACCTTGGTATAACCCCGGTATCACTCCTGTTATAGGCTAAATATCAAACATGTAATTGTGGAAATTGAATGGTCAATTATAACACCACCATCACCAACAAGAATAATAACAGTAGCTAAATCTGAGTTTTGTTGTTGTTATTAGTTATTAGCATATGACTATAATTGTCTAATAATGATACAAATAATATACTCATAATAACACTACTATAATAATAATATTAATAATTATTGCTGCAAGGCTGATTTGTATAGGGCATTACTAGGGCCTAAAGCAGCATGAGTTAGGCTATAAGGCAATCGTCAATGGACAATAACATTTATAGCCTACTGCATGGACCAAATATCTGCTCATATTTTGAAACTTATTTTCTCACTTGCACTACAAAAGATTCTGGTAACCTCCTCTGTCCCCCACCCCCTACCCCTTCGGCTTATGTCAGGGTGAATTGTTTTGAACATAGAGCACCAAGGATTTCCTGAGCCTAATCTGAACCAGTTGTTGCTAGCTTTAGAGCCTGATTTTGATGATTGCAGGGCTATGCCCCTCTATAGCATGAGGAACCCTGGCCCGGGGCAGTCTGCGGTTGTCATTTGGTACTGTTTCTCAATTATGACTAACAAATGCATTCTACAGTGGAGTGAATATTTACCATTTACAGCTATGCATTTCATATTGTGGTTGTTACATTTGGAATAGTTTTCCAATAATATGTTGAGAAACATTATTTTCATGCCACTTCGATATGGAAGGGACTTTTTCGTAGCAGGTTAGGAGAACTTACGTAGCAGGTTAGGATAATTCATGTAGCAGGGTAGGAGACTGAGGTTAAGGTTAGGAAAAGGCTTAGGGTTAGCAAAAATGCTCTCCTAACCTGCTACAAAAATCCCTTTTTATCGAAGTGGCATGAAAAGAGTGTGTCCCATAATATGTTATACTAGCCCTAGGGCTACCCTACTACTAAAGGCAACTTGACACTATGCCTCGGGATTCCCTGTATATAAATGTATCCTTTAAATCTAATAAGAAGGAACATTTGGACCTCATTTGAACTCCAAATAAAGCAGGAACCTGCTATTTACATAAACCCCAGTGTCTTTGATTCACAGGAGACACATAAACAAGTGACTCAAAAATAAGTTAGGAATATTCTGTACTCTACCTCCCACCCACAAGCAATGTGCAGCAAATCTTTGATTAACAAAATAGATACTTTAAACCAAATTACAAGAAATCTCCCATGTGGTTGCAGGCAGAGAAAAACTATGGTCGAATTGGCTAACAGGCAATAACAAAGGCACCAAAGCAGACGTGCCAGTTAATCTAAGGACAATATGTCTGGTAAAGGATGGACACACAGGAGATTACTATGTGCCATACAGGAATGCAGCCATCAATGTCACCTCTACAGGGGTTGTAAATAGAATATCAATTAAATCCCTTGCGGAAACTCGGACAAGGCCTTTAATCATGCCTGAATCCCACACTTCCGATCCCAACTGAATACACTGTGCATTCACACTGGACAGTTAACACGGACACACATATAAAATGTGAGTCTACTGTATCTGGCTCACAGAGAATTCCTCCTATCAGTTCCGCAAGTGCAGCAGTGCAGCATGTGTAGCAGGAGTAGCCTAGGCCTCAGCCTTAGCCGCTGGGCTCCTTCTGCACTAGACCTGGATGGGATATGGCATCAGGTCTACTGTGAGCTGACTGGTGTCAGTAACAACAGCTGCTAATGGACAGTAGAGCTGTCAGAAGGGCATTTTGTTTTTCATGGATATGACTTGCAGTCCCATTAAATCGATGTCAGGAAAGGCCTTTTCGGGTGTAAATAAACATCTAGAAGAGTAAATTAAAGTACACAGTCTGTTATAAAGCGTGGGAGAGGGCTTTACTATGTCGTTTTTGGTAAGCACTCAAAGTGAGTAAAACAATCATATACAATGAGTGCAAAAGCCAAAGGTAAGGAACTTGGTCTCGGCTGGCTTTCTCAGGTCTAGTGCCTGCAGGTATAGCCTTACCCCCACATGGGAGCATCATGTGAGACAATCCCAGGTATCCATAACCACAGGCTGTATGAGGGGTGTGGGCTTGGGGAGATGGGGGTAGAAGGGGGGTGATGAGGGACAAAAGGATCTTTTCAGGTCTGCCGCAGGGAGGGTGGGGGGGAGGGAGGTTGGCGGGCTTGTGGGGAGATTTCCTTACCAATGATGCATGGATCTGACAACGCTCCAGCCTGGCCTGCCCCAGAGGCAGACTAAGACTGTGTGTGTGTGTGTTTTTGGTTTTACAATCCTTGTGGGGACCAGACATCCCCACAAGGACAGTAAAACAAGGACAAAATGGGGACATTTCGCCGGTCCCCACAAAGAAAAAGGCTATTTTAGGCTTAAGAGTTAGGGTTAGGTTTAGGGGTTTGGGGTTAAGGTCAGGGTTAAGGTTAAGGTTAGGGTTAGGGGTTATGGAAAATAGGTATTTTGAATGGGAGTCAATTGTTTGGTCCCCACAAGGATAGTAAAACAAACGTGTGTGTGTGTGTGTAAGAGAGAGAGAGAGTGTGTACTAGAATACAGTGCTATAACCTTTGAACAGCTGTTCTCCGTAGTGTGTCTAGGTAAATATTGTGTGTGTGTTGTTCAATGCAAACAGTGAGCGCCATAGAAAGTCTCCTCTCAGAGTGGTCCAGCAGGAAGCCTCTGGTACAACAGGAAGCTCCTAGTAGCGTTGGCGAAATAAATATTTATCTCTGTCTCTCACTATAATGAGTGATGCATGACCCAGAGTTCAAAGACAAGGAGGAGCACTGACTCCTGATGATCCCAAGCTATTAGTGTGTAAGATAACATGTGTGTCAAATGAAATGCGTGAAGTAGAGCAGACAATGAATGGGAATTTTAATATCTTTACAAATAGAAAAGGTGGAGGACAAGATTAAACACAATTCTGATGCCTTTGAAAAAAGCTTGTAAAGAGAAATATAACTGGAAGGCTCGGGCTCATGTAACCGACCCTCACAGAGACAAAGCTTAGTTTCACAGAATCAGATATCGGTATTTTGGGAGCTTAGTAGGAAAAGCGATATGTAGATATATATTTTTTCTAATATTGAATTTTGAACACAGGAAAGTGACTTCAGTCTGGGATGTTGGAACTGAATATTTCCACAGGTTGTCAGCTCTTGTTATCCTGTGCCAATTCTAGTTTGAGCACACTACTGTGATATGCCTCAGAGCAGGTATACGCACACACCTATACATACATGTACAGTACCAGTCTAAAGTTTGGACACACCTACTCATTCAAGGGTTTTTCTTTATTTTTTACTATTTTCTACCTTGTATAATAATAGTGAAGACATCAAAACTATGAAATAACACATATGGAATCATGTAGGAACCAAAAAAGTGTTAAACAAATCAAATTATATTTTAGATTTTAGATTCTTCCAAGTAGCCACCCTTTGCCATGATGACAGCTTTACACACTCTTGGCATTCTCTCAACCAGCTTCATGAAGAATGCTTTTCCAACAGTCTTGAAGGAGTTCCCACATATGCTGAGCACTTGTTGGCTGCTTTTCCTTCACTCTGCGGTCCAACTCATCCCAAACCATCTCAATTGGGTTGAGGTCAGGGGATTGTGGAGGCCAGGTCATCTGATGCAGCACTCCATCACTCTCCTTGGTCAAATAGCCCTTACACAGCCTCAAGGTGTGTTGGGTCATTGTCCTGTTGAAAAACAAATGATAGCCCCACTAAGCGCAAACCAGATGGGATGGCATATCGCTGCAGAATGCTGTGGTAGCCATGCTGGTTAAGTGTGCCTTGAATTCTAAATAAATCACAGACAGTGTCACCAGCAAAGCACCCCCACACCCTCAAACCTCCTCCTCCATGCTTCACGGTAGGAACCACACATGCGGAGATCATCCGCTCACCTACTCTGCGTCTCACAAAGACACGGCGGTTGCAACCAAAAATCTCAAATTTGGACTCATCAGACCAAAGGACAGATTTCCACCGGTCTAATGTCCATTGCTTGTGTTTCTTGGCCCAAGCAAGTCTCTTCTTCTTAATGGTGTCCTTTAGTAGTGGTTTCTTTGCAGCAATTCGACCATGAAGGCCTGATTCACGCAGTCTTCTCTGAACGGTTGACGTTGAGATGTGTCTGTCACTTGAACTCTGTGAAGA